TCGAAAAATAATAAAAAGTTGTCCACATATTTTACACATTCAAAAAACGGCAGGAACGTTGTAAGAAGAGGCCGGTTATACCCGGTACTCAGTAAGGGAGCTTAGGATTTATATAATTTATGCAATATATTTAGTAAACGGGACGAATTGATTGGAAAGCAAAATTAATTCGTTCATTCTCGCTATAATAATGATCCGATCTGATCCAGATTCGGCAACCTGATAGATAATAATTTTCTTTTATTCTGCGTTTTCGGTTAACTCGTATCTTCCGAAATTGTGGGTGTCACACATGGCAAAATTTTGGAATATGAGATGACACGATCTTGCACACAATCTTATAGTCTCTGCGAACTACATATGTGCCAAACAGGACGGATGGATGTACAGGCTTAAAAGGCTATATAGACTCGGCTATTGATGCTGATCAAGAGTATACATATGTATGTACTTTATGAGACTCCAATCGATTCCTTCTGGGTGTTACACACATCCACATCCACCACAATACTAATATCTAACTAAACTCTACCGGAGTCTACGATCTTTGTTTTTTCGATTTCAATACTCGTATTTTTCAATAAATTATGGAGACATACAATTATCGGTTGGTTCGAGATCTGGAATCATCCCTTAAGTTCTCGTAGTTCTCATAAACAGGGTTCAACTGGTGGCTTAAATTGCCTAACCCACATTTGACAATCATTAGGCATAATAAATTTCTCCTGTTATCCATCTTAACCCTTTTGACTGAGACTCCCAATCGCCTGTCGCCGGATAACAAAAGAAAACGAGAAACGACTTCAGGCCGCTTCCGTTTGGGTTCGATTCGATTCGGGGGCCATAAAACTCCAACATAATTCTCAGGGCCTTCAATCTGAATGATATTTTTATGCAAATTGTAATCAAGAGAGCAAAAGGCACACGCACGAGTATGTAAGGCTGTACGGACGGGCATATGCCGAGCACAATTCGGCTTAATAAAAAGCGAACAAATGCCTCCTGATAAGTGTAAAATTTACAATTCCAATTTCGATTTCAATTTTCAAACAGTTGTGCCAAAGTCTTTAAAATCGAACAATGAAATGAATGGTTCCATGGGCCTAGCTGAGGGCCTGACAACAATGGGATAGGGATTTGTGGAACAATGCCGCAGATGTTTAACACATATTTTGTCAACTATTTAAGCTGTTGATTTCAACGCTCAATCAAATAAAATTAAAAAATTTAAACTCCCTTTCTTCCAGTGGTCCCATGTCTAGGGTTGTTCCTGGCCTCGCATCTCTAATGAAGTCGTTAAGGGTTGCTGGGTAGTTCTTAGCCCTCCTCGTCTTTGCATGTGTGCGGTTAACTTTTGGCAAACACACAGGACCCGAGCACAGAAGACGACGGAGACGGGGGTCCATAAATGTTGGGGTTCTAGCCGGTGAATGAATAAATTATCAACTATGTGAGGTAGGAGAAGTCGTTGCGTTCTTCTAATGCTGTCGAGTAGTTAACTTCAGTGTACGACTGTACGAGAGTTCGAGTGTACGAGTGTGCTCTAATTGCAGGGCCTTGTCGTCAGGCTATTAGAAGTCGGCCCTAATGGGTCTCATTGGGCCCTGGGATGAGATGGAATGGCAGGTAAGGGAAGGGAAGGGAACTTTAAGTTGGGAGAAGCCACAGCAACATTAGCGCATAAAAAAGGCATTTGTACGACATGAAAGGTACTCAGTCAGGGGCAGGTGGTTTCCTCTCCTTTCCAGCCCCTAATCCCCCAACAGCACAACACAGAAAAGGAAGACAAATCAATGCAGGTGTCACAAATGTCAGACGACTGCTTTCGGATCCGTCCTGCGAGCAGGAGGAGGATATTAATGTCACCAAGCGAATTGATGATGACGATTGTTGTTGTCCCAAGGCATAAGCCGATTTGCCATCTTATCACAGGCCCATGCCCATCCCCATGCCCATTCCCATCCCGCTATACGGCTTTTGATTCCCTCGCCTTCTCCGTCTCCGTCACCGTCTCCGTGTCCGCTTTTGACTGCGACTCCACCTCAGATTCTGATTCCGATTCCGATTCCGATTCTGACTCCGATTTCAATCTCTGAAGCGAGCTTTCATAATGGGCTTCCTCCTCGTCGATTGACAGGCATAATAAATCATGTGTTATAGTATTAATCAACCGGCTGCCTGTCTTTTGCTCCTTCTCCTCCGGCTGTTCTCCTTGGCCACTGTTGCTGCTGGCGAGGTAATCGCTCGACATTTATTGCAGTTACCCCTGGGATCCCGAGGTAAAACTGGCTTTAAGTCCTCCAGAGTGGAGCGTTTGAAAGTGTCCCTTGATTTCGATTCGCCGGCCTGTTATCTTGTCTTGTCTTGTTGGCTGCTTGGCTGGTTGGCACTTGCTGTTCGTCTTCTGCTTTCCAGGCATTTACTTGCATTGTTTCTCTAATTGCCATTTGTCGCAGTGTCCTTCAGACCACCCCTCACACAGAAAATCTGTCTGGCCGTCACATTAAGAACTTGTAAAGTTAAATTAAGTGTTTCGCCCACTAGGCAGAAAAAAGAGCCACTGGCGGCGCAGCGGGGAGTAGTTGAAGAAGTTTTGAATGGAATAATTGGATAAGTATTCCTGTACTATGAACGCGTAGGTATTCCAAAAAAGATATTGCGGGGAATTTAATGGGAATTTCCTTGAAACAACATCAAAACAGTCATTTGATGATTTTCTACGCGAAATAATCTGTATAATTCGTTTTATTTTGTTGTGAACTCAACTACATGTGTATTTTACCCATTAACAGTCTTAAAATAAACCAATTAAAGAAAACTCTGCTCCGAATTTCCGAATAATTTCTGAAACTGCCCACGCAGCTGCAGTTGCCTGAATTCACCTACAGAACGTGGCTAGTTATATTATTTAATTCGCAGACTGGTAATTGTAATGCAATTAAGAGATTAGCTGGGAATGCCATTAGGCTTTATTGTCCTCGCTGAGAGGGGTGTAGAGGAGAGAAGAGGAGAGGTAAGGAGAGGAGAGGACAACAGCGGAGATGGTAGTTGTCATAGTTATCAGGAATTATCCTCTGAGTAGACCGTCTCCTGCTTATTTTCCTTAATTCGGAAGCACTTCAATCATGTATCTGCTAAAAAATCCAAGCCGAACAAGAATGGAATGCACTTTTCAATTATTTAAATGACATTCTACAAATTTTAAGTGTTTACACCATTTGCCTAAAAGAGAAAAGCAAAAGCCTGAGAGGGGGAACGGGAACGAGAACGAGAACTGCGATGAACAACTTAATGTAATTGCTGGCTCTTCGACGAGTCTGGTCTGGAAGACCAAAAACCCCCCAAATCCGATACAGAAAAAATAAAAATAAGTCCTCCAGCGACCAGGGACCAGGGGGCGGGGGGCCAGGACTACTTGTGGGCTGTCCACACGGTCCATTTAAATAAACCCAATGTTGACTTTGGCAAACTAGTTTGATTTCTTTTCGAGTATTTTTTGTTAAAAATAAATGTCCTTGCATTTTATTTTGCTTTCCATTTGATTTGATTTCCTGCCTAGGTCTATCCTCGACTCTTGTGCTCCTCTTGCTCGTGGGAGTTCCTTTTCCAGCTGATATCAGCAAAAATCGCAAATCAAATAAAGCAAATTGAATAAAAGACAAGTGCCACGCCTCTGAGCCTGAGCCAGGGCCAGAGCCAGAGCCAGAGCCAGAGCCAGAGACTGTGGATGCGGATGCGGACCATCCAAAGTTCGGAACGGAATGGCTGTTGAGAGAGCGGCTATGGGTACGGGCTCTGGGAATGGGAATAGGAATGCGAATGGGCGTGGGCGTGGCAACGGACCTATAGTATAAAATTAGTTGCTAGTTCCATTGGTCGGGGGCTGTAAATGCGAGGACAGAAATCAAAATGTTCGCATAAAAGAATTATCTGTGCTTAAGTTAGATTATCCCTGGGCCATAGAATCCAATTGGCAATTGAATGGAAAGATGTCGCAGATTCGATTTTGCAACTCCACTTTTCTGCCCATCTTTGCACATCCCCTCCACAGAAGTGGTTTCCCGTCCCACGAAGTCTACTGCCACTTGAGAAGTTGTCCAAGCGCTGTATCTGTCTTTGTATGCACTTCCCTTTTCTTTCATCCAGTTTCATTTGATTTTCCTTCGGCTTAGGCAAGTACCATTTCAATGTCTTTGTCTGGGTGCGGAAGCAAACACACATATGCTGGAGGTTTGGGAGTGGCCAGGGTTTTGGGGTTAGACAAATTTTGTAGCGCTATCAACAGAAGGTGGGACTGAATGAAGGGTGTGCTGTATGTGCCCATTAACTTTGTTGGGATTGGGGATTAGGGTGGGGTAATGTTGAAAGGACGCCCCTTTGATCCTGAATGTTGTTAGCCAAAAAATCGTTTGGTATTTAACATACGAGTACCATTCTGTGAGGCGCTCAGATTGTTCTCCAGGAATTTATTGTTTTCGAACCTCTTTGAAAAATGTATTTTATATGTTTTTCTCCTGGAACATAAATAGCAGATATTGGTAAGTACTCTAAAAAAATTGTTATGCACACGACTTGAATCACTACAAGATGGCTACCTCATACACTTCTACACATTGATATATCTATTCTTTAAATCTGAATTGAGAATGGTATCTATTATCTAGTATCTAGTATCTTATTATACAGCCTTGTTCTCTATTGCAAATTCTCTGATTGCCCTCGATTCAATACATTAACTTCAAAGGATTTCAGAGAGTTGTCGCCACAAGTGGATCGGGACTATTTAGCATGAGATTAAATTAGATGAAAACTACTAGGACTTTGCTACTGATGATACTGCAACACTCATAGCTATATCCCTGCTCTTCAAGAATTTCCTTGAAGAATTTCCTTGCCTTTCAGTCAGGTAAATTCCGTGTGCCTCTTCTTCAGACGAGTCTTTAATCTTTGTTAATTTCTTTGTTTTTGTTAAACCTCCAAAAACCGAAACCGTTTTCATCTAGTCAAATCAATAATGTTTTTATTAATAGAATTCTTCGGTAACTAACAGAACAATTCATGAATGTAACCAACCGAACACTAATTACCACTCCGCTAACACAAAGGGCTCTTGCCGGCCTTAGACGAGGTGTCCATCTCCCGAAGAACATCGTTCCAGAGATCAACCTCATATTTGATAAAGTCTAGGATAAGGGGCATTTCATAACTTCGTAGACTGGGCTTTATGCCTGAGGAATAAATGCGGATCCTTCGTTGAACAACGGCCATGGCCGGGTTGATGACTACACTTACCGCGCCGCTTGCATATCATCTTATACAGTGTTAAGATGCATTCCATGGAACATTCCTTGTCCAGATTGTTATTGGCGATGACGTCCTTACAGGAGGTCAGAATCTTCTCCCACTTGAGGCACGTTTGACGCGCCTGGCTGTACGAGCGCTCCATCCTGCCCAGATCGTTCTTGAGGCCCAGCACAGTAAGGGCCGCCTCGTTGGTCATCAGGAGCATCCGGTTCCGCATATTCTCGATTTCCTCCAGCTTCTGCAACTGCAGCTGGCTGATTTCTACCTGGGCAAGCACTAAGCAGGAAACAACACTCTGATATAGAGACACATTGGATGACCCATGTCTGAGCGCTTACTCAATGCGTCGCAGCGATCGATGCAGTCCTTGGGTGACTCAAAGATATCGGAAACTTTCACCACATCGTTAAGGACGCGCTCGTATGGCTGAAACTCGGCAACCGTGTCTTTAAGATCAGTGCGGAAGACCTCCAGTTCGGACAGGGAGCTCTTGAAGCGATGGATTCCCTTGTTCAGCTCTACATGCAGGGCCTTCTGCTCATGAATAATCTTGTCCGCCACCCGCTTCTTTTCCACACAGTCCTTGATGAAGCTGTTCACCTCGATGAACCGCTTGCGCAAGCGCTCCTGCATCTTGTACATCTTCCGAGTACGCTGGCTGTTGACCAGGGACTGGCGCTTTGCATCCTGCAGCAATTGCTTCTGCAGCGCCTTCATCGCATTGTTCTCGCGAAGATTTTCGATGTAGATTATCTCAATCGAGTCTCCAGCCGAGTCCCAGTTGGGAGGCTTTCTAAACCACCGCGAGGTATTCAGGTGTCGATGAGGATATTCAGTTAAAAGAGTAATACTTTAGTCAGCTTACACAAAGTACTGGTCCTGCTGGCGCGAGAGGCGGTAGTCGCCCACGGAGTGCTCGGGACGGAGATCCAAGTTCCCGACCACATCAATTGTGAGGGTGGGCTTGTGGCGCGGCATTTTATCGGTGTATATAAAACCTCTTATAAAATATGTATGATATTATTATATGTTAATATATTTGTCTATCTCTGTTGTAAGGAGAATATGTTCATTCTCTGTAAGTATTTTATTACTGATAGACTGTAAGGACAACTCCTTTCCCGCCTACTGTTTTCCCTTTATTTCTCAAATTCTTCCAATTATTGTAGGACTAGTCCCCTGCTTCAATCTATGAAGATTCAATTTGAGCACTATTCTTGGTTTCATTTGGGAATTGTAGTACAAATGTATTACTTACACTTTGGAAGGGATACTCTTTCCCTTTCGTCATTTTCAAGCCCATGGCAACTATTGCCCTGGCGATTTTCGATCGCTCAGGCAACGAATGTTTTTCTTTTCACCCAAATAAAATCATGTTCCAAGTAGGTCTCGTAAAATTTGTTACAATAACAATACACAGCTTACAGCAAACAGAAACAGAAACTCACAAGATTAGTATCCCACACATTTCTTTGCTACATTTTGAAGTCAGGGGATTCGGTCAACAGCTCGAAGATGCCACGCGTTAAGCCCACCAAGAAGCTCGATGTCTTGGGCAACTTGGACTTGCGGCCCGAACATGCTGTTGGGGACTACCTTAACTCTAAGATGCAGGACAAGTTCTTTGTGTAAGTTCTGGAACATCACGTGGCCCCAAGATGATTAAAGATCGATTAACAGAAAACCGCCAAACTCCGACTCTGCCGGGGACTCCATCGAGCTGTTGTTCATTCAGAACCATCGCGAGCATGACGCCATGACCAAGCTGCAGAAGGAGATGCTGGCCAGTGCCAAAAGGCAGACGGAGCTGAACTCGTCCCGTGTGCGGAAGATGTACAAGATCCAGGAGCGACTCAGGAAGCGCTTCATCGAGGTTAACAGCTTCATCAAGGACTGCGTGGACAAGAAGCGGGCGGCGGACAAGACCATCGACGAAGAGATTGCCCTACACGGCGAACTGAGCGAGGGCATTGAGAGCTTCAAGAGCTCCATAGGCGAGCTGAAGGCCTTCCGGGAAGCCCTCAAGGCCACCGTTCAGGAGTTCCAGCCGTATGAGAAGGTTCTGGACGAGGTGGTCAAGGTCTGCGATATATTCGTCTCTCCCAAGGACTGCATGGACCGATGTGATGCCCTAAGTGAGCATGCGATGAGCTGAGCTCAAAAACAGCTCTCTGACACACTATTTTAGTGCTTGCACAGGTCGAAATCAATCAGTTGGAGCAGAAGAAACTCCAAGAAATCGAGGAAATGCGCAAGAGTATGGTGAAGGTCACCAATGAGGCTGCCCTGACGGTACTGGGCCTCAAAAACGATCTGGCCAAGCTCGAGCGTTCGTACAATGAGTCGAGGGTCTTGTGCCTAAAGTGGGAGAGCATCCTGGCCACCACCAAGGACACCATAACCAACAGCTACATGGACAAGGAGCGTAGTTTGGATGGGGTCAACGTCTTGTACCGCACACTCTGCAAGCGACGTGGTGAGTTCCTGGTTCAGTACTGCTCCGATTCAAGCGGATAATCAGTCCTGCCAATCCTTTCACAGATCTACAGCCGGCTGCCTCTCGCAACGACGTTGAGAAACAGTTGGATTTCGTTAAGGCCGAGGTCGAGATACTGATGGGAGTCTTGAAAGCATCCCAAGGCGATACGACGTCGGATGAACATGCCGTTGGAGAAGGGGCCCTCTGCTAGCCGGGCCAAATTTAAATGTTTTCGTTGGAAGTAAATTCAAAAGAATACTACAAGATATTCAGAAAAAAAAAATTCATTTAGTTTCCGTGATTGATATTGTATTTTCGCGTTACGTATGAGCATCAGATAATAAAATACCGATACACTCGGGCCTAATATCAGCATCGATAATAAACATGACTTTTAAAAAGGTTCAGTTCCCCTACAGCACACAGATATTAATCATTCGATCTATTTTTATCGGCCAAGCCCTCTGGATCCAAAAAACCTTTAGATGGCGAAAGCCATTGAAACTATTTGACCCTTAACCCCATATCCTTTCATATTCCGCTCCTCTTTGCACTCTGCACTCTGCACTCCCACTCCCCGTTGCACATCTTTCTCTGTCTTTGGCTTTGACCCACGGCTGGAGTTGGTAACTGTTATTAATTGTTCCGCGCTGCATTCGCTTGTTAATGCCACTTTCTAATTGCTTTTACCTCATAAATCTCTTGCCCCAAGTAGCCGCATGCTTTGTTTCTTCACTCGGTCCGAGCTGGGTCCGGGTCCGGGTCCGGGTCCGGTTTTTGTCGCCCGCTCTGCAGTCATCATAAGTCACCGAATCGTCGGACACTCAAAACAAATGTGACGCTGGCTTATTTAATTAGAAAGCTGCAGACAGGGCCAAGTCCGAGATCAGAGTGCAGCTAACGGCCCCGGTCTGTGCATCAATTGGACATTAAGCACAAACTGCGCCAACTTCGGTTGACGGCTTTTTAATTACGTCAGCCAGGATAATGTTTGCCCAGCCAGCTCCTGGGTCCCCCGTCCTGCGCTCGACAATTAGTGTCTTCCATCCCCCTATAGATGGCCAAAAAAGGGCATTGTCAATTGGTATTTTCATTCTATTTTTCGATTGGGAAAACTTTTTTAATTACCCCCGAAAAGAGACACTGAAAAAAAAACATTTCTGCCGTCGCGACGGCTCTGATTTTCAATTATATATTGACAGTCGACTCGATTCGTCGTTTAACCTGTCGACCCCTTGACATGAGCTGGCCTGGCCTGGCCTGGCCTGGCCTGGCCTGGCCCGTCCCGGCCCGGTTCAGCTCTCTCTCCCATTCGCTAAAAGTTCTCACCAAAAGTTTCGGGCTTAACACTTTTGCTGGCACGCAACTTTAATGGGCCGGATGGTGGCTCTTTTTTAATAATTGATGCGTTTTTCGGCTGGATGCTGCAGCTCTAAAAATGATACCATTTTGTGCATTATTTACTGGCGATTTAATTGCATTTTAATTATGCGCAAATGTCAAACAGATAAATGAAATGTGGCAAAAATATTTAAAAACATAATTTACACGCGCGCCAAAGACAGAGATTAGCGGGCTGACAAATGCCCGCGACCGAAAATAAATCCCAGATAACCAGAAACACACACGCAGTGATCTGGAAATTGTCCCCACACCCAACCCGTTCGGGGCTTGACATCTTTATGCCTGGTCGCGGCTTCTGGTCGTGTTTCGATACCCATTCTCCAAAGACATTTCCGCTCTGGCTGGTCCGGGATTGGGCGGGGATGGGTTGGGGACTGGTCGGGGAGGGCGATTGGGGTCTGCAGCAGAACGAACAGAACACAGAGGTGTTAGAACTCTGCCGTCTGTGGGTGAAGTATGAAAACATTTTAATTAATGCTGACAGCTGAAAATGTCGCGGCCACCTTTTGTTGTGTAAATTCCATCGACTTCTTCCCGACGCGACCCGAGGCGTTGGACTCTATAATTATGATTGGATTTCGCTGCACGTTGACTGCTGACTGCTGCTTGAGCATTTTCCCATTTTTCCATTTTCTTCTCACTCTCTTTCTCTTTCTATTTTGAACTCGCCCCGGCTCGTTTTTCCATTGAGCAACACGTCAACAAATTAATCCGCTTAGCACTGGCGTACTCCTCCTGGGGGTTGACAGACTAGACAACAGCCAGACCCATCCACATCCACATCCACCTTCAAGCCCAAACCCTAACTATAACATAAACCCTAGCCCATACCCAATGATTCAGATCGGAAGACGGAGAAGGAGAAGGAGACGGAGACGGAGACAGAGACAGAGACAGACCGCCGCCAGACGCGGGGTTTGCCCAGACGGTCAAGCGTTAATCCTTAATAGTTGTTGGCTCTCAAACTTTTCTAGGGCTTCCAGTCGAAGGGTGTTCTTTTTTAATTTTTAATGCCCGCGGGTGTCAAGGTGAATGAATGGGACAATTGTGTGTTGGGACTCCACTCCACTTGACTGGAGGGAAAATTAATGGATTCAATTGTTCAGTAAATGAACAGCAAATGAATTGAGATTAGCATTAGCTGAAAAATTCAATCAATAATTATTACATTCAATAGAGCTGCGCATGTTCAGTTCAGTATTTTTATAAGACTCGACACAAAATTTCGAGCATTTTCCAAAGCTGTCAATAGTAAATGGGAAAATTCCCACATTTAATCATTTTCTGACAAACAGCCAAGACTACAGCCAATTTTACGACTAATGCCAGTCCAAAGTATCGACCCTGCTGTATGGCCATGCTTCACATGCTATACTACAGGTGCCCAGCCACATACATAGCCTTTGGCTGGAGGGCAAAGTGCTCGGCGTCTGACCAGTCTGTGCAGAGGGACAACAGGAGCGATAGCCATTTTCATAGTAATAACAATATATAACACACAAATTTGAATAACAAATTAACTCACACACATTCATGTAGAGCTTGGCTGAACGCAGAACACGATGAGTGACATTCAGGAAGTCTTTGACTCTGCCCTTTCCTCTGCCCCAGCACTTTCCTCTGTCTCCGACTCCGTCTCCGCCGTGTGGCGTGAGACTCGAAATTGCCATTCGACTTGGCACTCCTGGGCGAGCCACATATAACATACAACATACAACATAATTGAATGCCTGCAGGATATGCACATAGGAGCAACCATAGCAATAGCCACAAAATATTTGCTTATGTAGACCAGACCAGACGAAACGAGACCAGCGCCAGCACCAGCCCCGACCAGGCCCCGACCAGGCCCCAACAGCTCTCGGCCAGAAACCAAATGTGACTTTGCAGCGTCAACGTCAATGTTGCATAAATCAACACAGCGACGATGGCGCTGCCAACTTTGTGGCACCACTGTATACGCCCTGCCCCTTCATCCACGCCCCCTCAAATCTGATTGAATATTTCAAGCTATGCATCTTTAATAATGCGCCACGATGTCGACGTCGATGTCGATGTCGATGACGGTGCCCCAGGCCGTTTGTGGTAGCAGGCATGCAAATGCAAATGTGCAAAATGCAAAATGCACAGTAGCCCCGACTCTGTGCCGGCTCTCGCCCGGCGCGGCCCAGGGTGTGGAGGATGTAATTTGGACGCTTTTTTCCTGGCTAAACTGACCGATGTCTTAGCCGGGTTCCTCGTTCCTGGTTCCTGGTTTCTGGTTCCGGGTCCCAAGCCGGCAACGCCATCTAATCAAACTTTACTTGACTTTTCTTTGCTACGTGTTTGAATACCCGTCAATCGTAAATTCCAGGGGTATATTGTGTTCGCATACGTGTATTCAGCACTCAGAGGAAATCATCCAAAACCTTCAACATTCGATCGCTTTTGCCACAACTGCAACGTTCTGGATACTCTTGGGAATATCTCCACTTTGAGATTGATACTCGATAGCGTTCACACTGAACACTATTTGAAAGAACCATGTAGCCCCAGAACCAGAATGATATCTCTTGGAAAATGTAATTTCTCACTACGGAGTAGTGACAGTCACAAAACTCGAATCTTGCTGGTATTCTTGCTGGTATTTTTTCTTGCCAGCCCAGAAAAAACTTTAAACTTTGAATCGAGACTTGGCTTAGGTTTCCTTTTCGGTTTCGGTCTGGCAACATCTAATTGAATCCGACCGCATCAAGATGAAGTTCGTCTTTGGCGACAGTTTTGTTTGGGGTTTCTGGCTTGAGCCAGAGCCAGAGCCATGTCCCATGTCCCATGCCCCTAGCCCCTAGCCCCATGCCTCCTTGCCTTCCAATTCCGTCTTCCACTTCGGGCCCTATCTGCTTTGTGTGTGTTTAGTTGACCGCAGTCAAAAATAGCTTTGAAAAACTTTGACTGTGGCCGAAAAGGTCTCCCTGCGGCCCTTCGCGTGGCTGATGAGGTGCTGTCTGAGAGATTGTTGGCTGCCGCTGCCGCTGCCGCTGCCTGGCATCTTTGTCGGAGTCAAAAGTTTGCCATAGTTCAAGTTAATGTTGTGTGACTTTTCGTAGTTTTCTTTTCGGTCAGGCAAATGAACCATGTTTCGGATGATGTACGAGTATTGATGTATCGGCCAACAAAGAGGAGAGAAACTTTTAATAAGTTTGTCAAGTGCTTATTACTCGTATAGATCGCCCGATGGCTAGGACAAAACTTTGCTGGCTAATAGAAAGAGCAAGGCCAGAGAGGAGCTTAGGCTGAGGCAGACCCTGAGACCCTGCGCAACTGTTCACAGCATCGCCTCTCATAAATAGAGCGTGGCCAGAAACAATGGTCTAACCCGCTTGGCCGAGTCGTCCGTCCAGTTAATTAAAATTTTGTATTAAAGTTAACTACTGCGGCAGATGGAGGTGAATGGTGGTGGTGCTCAACCTAAGCTGCGTATGCGATATGTTGCACCAGAACGAGACGCGAATTGTGGCAAATCAGCTCAGCGTGGCTGAGCCATACTACAGCCCCAAGATCCAACAATGGAGATTGTTTTGGTCTGGCTCTGGGGTTGAATTAAATGTAGCTTCTGCCTTATATTATCCACCGCTCGACTCCGTGCATAGGTGGACGAAGCAACAATGCGCAACATGAGGCGCATTACACATACGCAGGGTTGTCCGCCCAGGCCAAGGCACAGGCCCAGTGCCCCTTCACCCAAGTTGGGCCAAACCACAGGAGATTAATTTCGTGTCTGTGCATTCTTTTCACAACAAAATGCACGGTGAGTAAGCCAGACAACACGCCCTAATCCGGAGCAGAAAGCACAGAGCAGAGCAGGGTCAAAAGAGTGGCTTTAAGATCGAAAAGTTATGCTGAACATTAAGTTTACATATCAGAAATTTATCATGCAGCGGTTTGGCTCATACACATCGCTGGCAGTGCCGTTGATTGCGGCTCCA